CTTCATTGGCTGCTGAATCTTGTGTCTTATTTTCACTCACATAAGACTTTAACATATTTATGTGACAAACTCTGCTTTTTCTTCCGCGGTCAGGAGTAGAAATTACATAATTCGTCTCACTCAACTTCTTTTCAATGCAATAGGGGCCAGCGAATCTAGCATGGAGTGCAGAGGATGGAACAGGGAGTAGAACAAGCACTTGATCACCAGGCTGAAAACTGCGTTTAACTGATTTCTTATCAAATCTTGACTTCATCTTCGACTGGACACACACAATATGGGCCTTAGCAATGTCACAGGCACTATGCAGTCGTTCACGGAAGTTACTGACATAGTCCAACAGGTTGACGGCAGATGTTTCTTTAGACAGCAGTTGTTCCTGGAGGAGTTTTAGGGGTCCACGAACAGTGTGGCCAAAAACAAGTTCAGATGGGCTGAATCCTAATGATTCTTGGACCGTTTCTCGGACAGCAAACAATAGCAAAGGCAGACCTTCCACCCAGTCTTTTCCAGTACTCACACAAAATGTCCGGAGCATGGTCTTGAGAGTCTGATGGAACCGTTCTAGCGCCCCCTGCGATTCTGGGTGGTAGGCGCTTGACATCTGATGAGACACTCCCAACTCCTTTAAAACTTGTGCAAACAGCTTTGATGTAAAGTTAGAACCTTGGTCAGTTTGGATGACCTTTGGGAGGCCAAATATGGAGCAGAATTTGATAATCTCTTTGACTATTACACTAGCTCGCAGAGATCGCAGTGGAAACGCTTCTGGAAATCTTGTAGCAGCACACATTAAAGTTAGTATGTACTGATGACCAGATTTTGATTTTGGAAGGGGCCCAACACAGTCCAAGATCAAGCGTTCAAATGGTTCATTTATAACTGGTATAGGTTGAAGAGGGGCAGTGGGAACAGTCTGATTAGGCTTACCAGAGAGTTGACAGTCATGGCAAGCTCTGCAATAACTCACAACACTGTTTTTCAATCCAGGCCAGAAGAAGTATTTCAAGATTCTCTTGTAAGTCTTAGTGATACCAAGGTGACCAGCCAAAGGATGCTCATGCGCCAGCTTCAGGACCTGGGGACGGTAAGCAGAAGGTAACACAACTTGATGTACAGCTAACACATCTCCATTTACTTGTGGTTTCCATCGTCGCATGAGTATACCATCCTCCCAGTAGTAAGTAACTGGACCACTCAGATTTTTAGCTTTTTCAAAGCTGACAGAAGCATCCAGAGACAACGACAGGGAAGGATCAGCTTTCTGAGCAGCAGCAAGGTCCTCCTTTCCAACTTTTAAAAGAGTTGCAGCTGAATCAGAATCACTCCTTTCACAAGGGGAAGAAATCTCAGGGTTAATGAAGAGTGTACACTCAGACATGCCAGACACAGGATTCATAAAGGAGTCACTGAGGTTCACAACATCGTCCAACTTTCGGGATTGTGCTCTAGTAACAGCACAGGCAGGAAAAACAGCAGGGAAATGAGCAGCAACAACATCTGGCTGTACAGTCACCTCAGGCTTATCCAACACAATAGGACAAGGAAAAACTTTACCTCCAGCCAGGTCATTTCCCAGGATGATGCTTACGCCCTCCACCGGCAGTTCACTCCGTACTCCAATTTGAGCTTGGCCTGTGACCAAATCTGATTTTAAAAAGACAGTATGCAAGGGTACTTTAATACAGCTCAGTTCTATTCCTCTGACTAGTACATCTGTGCCAGTGTATGTTTTGTCAGAGAAAGGTAACACTCCAGCTAAAATGAAAGACTGAGCAGCTCCCGTATCCCTCAGGATGGATACTGTTTGGCTTGGTGAGTCAGCTGAAAGAGACACAGAGCCAGTTATCAGGAAGGGTTTATATCCAGAATCCTGGAGTGGTTGAAATGAAGGGTCAGATACAGAACCAGCTTGAGCAAAAGCTACACTCTTTGACTTTGTAGAAGCAGACTTCTGTTTCCATGCTTTACAGTCAGATATTAGGTGACTAGAATCTAGGCAGTAAAAACAAACACGCTTTCGGCTTGAATTATCCAGCATGGGTTTTACTTTCTCTGACTTCTCAGATGAAAGAACGGGTGAGACTGCCTTTACCTGTTCATTTGCAAAACCTCGATGCCTGAATTGACGAGTACTTGAAAATACTGACCTATGGGTTAATGCAAACTCATCTGCTAATACTGCAGCTTCAGAGAGGGAATTTATCTTTTGCTCATTTAGGTGTATCACAATGTTCTCAGGAAGACAACTTTTAAACTCTTCAAGCAAGATGAGTTCCTGCAGTTGATCGAGAGAGTTAACCTTACTGGCCAGACACCATTTCTCAAAAAGGGTTCTCTTTTCCCGTGCAAACTCAACAAAGGTATGTTTGGCTGTTTTCGTTGTACCTCGAAAGCGCTGGCGATATGCTTCAGGCACAAGTTCATATGCACGTAAAACAGCAGCTTTTACAACATCATAATCCAAGGACTGATCTATTGGAAGTGCAGCACATACTTCCTGAGCTTTACCCACAAAGTTACACTGGAGTAGTAAACCCCACATGTCCTTGGGCCAACCAAGTTTTTCAGCAATCCGCTCAAATGCAGTGAAATATGCATCTACCTCTGCTTCTCGAAAAGGGGGTACTAATTTAATATACTTTGCCACATCAAAGTTAACCCGAGCATCATTGGGAGAGCCAAAATTAACAGTACTACTCTGTGCAGGAACAGCAGTCAGGGGTGAGGAAGGTCTAGAACTTGGAGCTGACACAGGCTTGTTTAAATTAACAGTGCTACTCTGTGCAGGAAGAGCAGTCAGGGGTGAGGAAGGTCTAGAACTTGGAGCTGACACAGGCTTATAGCGTAGAGCTTCTGCCTCAAGTGACAAAGTCTTCAGCTTAATGTCTCTATCAGCTTGTACTTCAATCACACGAAGATGAACAAGTTCAGTTTCATGCTCTTGTTGTTTAATGGCTAACTCAAGCTCCTTTAGCTTTATCTCCAATAAAGGATCCATAATTGGCTCATTACCAATAGGAACAGCGTCAACATTAGTTTCAGCTATTTCAACTAATTCCTGCTCCTCTAGCCCATCAGTTTTTGACTCAACTGGTAGGATACCAGAATTAACCAACTCAGTATATACCTCATCTTTTAAAACTGCTTTAGTAACATCCCTAGACACAGAGATTTTAAAGAACTCAGCAATTAACAGCAAATCCTTCTTACGACAACGATTGAAAACTTCTACAGTGGGAGCAAGACTAAACTCAATCAAATCAAACTCCATTTTACAAAGTACAACCTATCTGCCCCTTTCCAAAAAAAGAAAACAGCCACAACTACAATTAGACTAAGAAAAATCACTAATAAGTTACAAAACTTCCCCAAAATTCAAATTGTAGAATACAAAATTCTCAAAGTCAAATTTGAAAAGGTAACGTTTAACTTTGTTCAAATCCAATGGATGAGCCCCCAATTTTCACTGTTACGTCCCTGATGGTAAGTGTCTAGGAGTGGGAGTAACAGTGAAAAGTTTTAAAAAAATGTTGGTTGGGGTGAGTGTGGGTCAGTCCCCTGCCTTCACGACAACACACCAAATTCAAGTTAAATAATTTATTAACAAATGTACAATAGGAAAACAAAACTGGGAAGCAAAAATAGACTTCAGGAGGGGGAAAGGCCAAAACAACAAACAAAAGTACACTCTAGCTAGTTAGGGAGTAAAACTGTCTAAACTGACAAAGTAAAATTAAATCAACAACAGAAATGTACACTAACTCCCTAACTAAACATAAACAAGAGAAAAAGGGTTTCAGAAATAAAATGGCACCCACCTCCCTACGGCTTCCAAACACAAAGTTAGTTTTCATAAACAAAGCTCAAATGGCTTCAGAGGCTTTAACAACAGATATTAACTTCAACAAGTTAAACACAACAGCACCAATAGTTTCTCACAATAGCTCAACCAGGCAGGAGAGAGACCACACTCTGGAAGCAAGCTTCAATGTGGCTTGCAACTGGCAGGCTTTTAAGCTTGCCGGGCAACGAGTAGCAGGTGCAAGCAATCAACTTCCTCTCCTCCACACCTAGCTGAGAAACAGGTTGCAGGAACGGAGAGAGAGAGAGAGAGAAAAAAAACCAAAACACAATAATACATTCAAAACACAATGGAATGTAACAATATAATATAACATAACATACTAGAATAGAATAGAATAGAATAGAATAGAATAGTATATCATCAACATAACACAAAAATGTAATATAATATATTATAATATAATATAATATAATATAATATAATATAATATAATATAATATAATATAACATAATAGAATAGAATAGAATAGAATAGAATACAATATAACATAACATAAGATAACATAACAAAACATAATATAACATAACATAACATAACAATATAATATAATATAATATAATATAATATAACACTATATAATATAATATAATATAATATAATATAATATAACGCTATATAATATAATATAATATAATATAATATAATATAATATAACAATATAATATAACATAACATACTAGAATAGAATAGAATAGAATAGAATAGAATAGCATAGAATAGAATAAAATAGTATATCACCAACATAACACAAAAATATAATATAATATAATATAATATAATATAATATAATATAATATAATATAATATAATATAATATAACGCTATATAATATAATATAATATAATATAACGCTATATAATATAATATAATATAATATAATATAACAATATAATATAACATAACATACTAGAATAGAATAGAATAGAATAGAATAGCATAGAATAGAATAAAATAGTATATCACCAACATAACACAAAAATATAATATAATATAATATAATATAATATAATATAATATAATATAATATAATATAATATCTCCTTTATAGTTGTATTCCTCGGTTACATTCATCGCTCTGCTTCTCCAAGTGGCCGGAAGAGGGATGTGATGTAAAAATCATCCTGAGCAGTTTTTTTTTTCTCCTCTTCTTCCTCTCGTGTGCAGCAGATCTTCCCATGCATTGTAACGGTGTTGAAGAACATAAACCCCTGAAACACAATGCCTCGACATCTGTAATGGCCTGTTGACTTTCGGATGTGATTTCTGTGGGATAAACGATTGTCAGGATCCCGAAAACAGGTAAATATTAACTTTGAGGCGAAGTCTTAAACACTTTCTGGATCAAAACTGAAGTTGTTTGGTTTTTCTGGACTCTTTGTTGCGATTGAGAAACACTCCTGCGTTCAGACTGATCAGATGTGTGTGATTCATGCATGGCAGAAACTTTGTTTTGTCAACTTTTGACGCTTTTCGCATACATTTCTTGGGTTTGTCATCTATCGTTTACAGTCGGTTGTGTAGAAAACGTTCAGTAAACAGCCAATATCGTCTACACTGTACTTTTTCTGAAGTATTCATGGTGTTTTATTGCTGTTGTTTCACTTTATTGCTTTGGTCAAGTTTGTTTCTCTCTGTTAAAGATGTTTATTTATCTATTATTCACCTTTTTAAAACATCTATTAGTTATACTAGTTAAGAGAAAAGACAATGTCTATTAAAATAACCTGTTTTATCTTATGGATTGGCCACGAGCGATTTGTGATTAAATCGTTTACGACTCGAATGTGAATCGATTCACAAGCCGGTTTAAATAATTAGTGATCGAATCTTCTATGGGTTATCGAGCGACCAGTTCTCGTTTAGTTTTTAACAATTCCTTCATTTACTGTCGGTTGTGTGGAAAGGTTTAAATGTATTGACAATATCATCTACATTGTGCTTTTCTCTGTAGCATTCACGGTGTTTTGTTGCTGTAATTTCACTTTATTGCCTTGTCGGGTTTGTTTCTCTCTGCTGAAGATGTTTTCGTCGTTTCTTTTCTTTGACAGCCAGCTGCTTAATGCATTCATTTGTTTAAATTAAAGACAATGGATTGTCCACGAGCGATTCTTGATTTAATTGTTTGAGTCGAATCTGAATCGATTCACAACGCGATCTGAATAGTTAGTGATCGAATCGAGTTGAATCACTTTGATAGAGGATCGAGTCACTAGTTCTCGTTGAGTTAGTCGGTTGTTTGGAAAGCTTTATATATATTGACAATATCTTCTGTATTGTGCTTTTTCTAAAGTATTCATAGTGTTTTGTTGCTGTTATTTACCTTTATTGCCTTGTTGAGTTTGTTTCTCTCAGTTGAAGATGTTTTAGTTGTTTATTTGACTATCAGCTTCTTAAAGCATTAGTTTGTTTAAAGTAAAGACAATGTCTATTAAAATAACCTGTTTTATCTCATGGATTGACCACAAGCAATTCAGAGTTGAGTCGTTTAACGAGTCAAATCTGAATCGATTCACAAGCTGGTCTAAACAATCAGTGATCGAATCAAGTTGAATCACTTATCGAATTGAAGTTAGTTTTCAACAGTTCTTTCATTTAGAGTCAGTCGTGTGGAAAAATATCAAAATATTGACAATCTACATTGTAATTTTTCTTAAGTATTCATAGTGTTTTGTTGCTGTTGTTTCACTTTAGCTATTGCCTTGTTGAGTTTGTTTCTCCTTGTTGAAGATGTTTTAGTTGTTTCTTCAGCTTTATGAAACATGTCTTGGTGTTTGCGGTATTTTGCTGCTTATATTTCACTTTATTGCCTTGTCGAGTTTCTCTCTGTTGAAGAAGTTTTAACTGTGTTCTTTTCGACAATCAGATTTATAAAACATGTACTCGTTATACTAATTAAGAGAAAAGACTATGTCTATTAAAATGACCTGTTTTATCTTATTACTAGTCCTCCAGCAATTGGTGATTGATTCATTTCAAAAGTCGTTCTGAATAATTTGTGATTGAATTGAGTTAAACCACTTTGATTGGTTTTCAAATCACCAGTTGTTGTTTAGTTTTCAACAGTTCTTTCATTTACAGTCCGTTGTTCGGAAAGGTTTAAATATATTGACTATCATCTACATTGTGCCTTTTCTGGAGAATTCATGGTGTTTTGTTGCTGTTGTTTCACTTTATTGCCTTGTCGAGTTTGCTTGTTGAAGATGTTTTAATTGTCTCTTTGATGATCAGAATTATAAATCATGTACTAGTTATATTAGTTAAGAGAAAAGACAATGTCTATTAAAATAACCTGTTTTATCTATTACCTGTTTAAACAATTTGTGACTGAATCGTTTCACGAGTCGGATCTGAATCGATTCACAAGCCAGTCTGAACTCTGATTAATTAGTGATCAAATTCAAGAGTTCACACCTAGCTGATGATTGATTATAAGCAAGTTTGGCATGCTGTCTCGGGAGAGAGCCCTGAGCTCGTAGGTTCTTGAGCCCTGGGCTCCCTCCCGTTTGGAGGAAGAGAGGGGAGCCTCGAGCTCAGGTAGATCTCGACAACTCCCCTTTTTATAATAGCTAAAGATTAAGATTGAAGGCTATTAAAAGATATGCTGCATTATTAGATTACCTGTATTGAAATTTAGATTTAACGATTAACTTGTTGTACATGTTTTTGGAATGTGGGAGGAAACCGGAGAACCCGGGGAAAACCCAAGCAAACACGGGAAGAACATGCAAACTACACACAGAAACGACCACCGGCCTGTTAAGGAACTAGAACCAGTGACGTTCTTGCTGTGAGGCGACAGTGCTAGTCACTGAGCCACCGTGCTGCCCTATGGAGGGAAAGGTGAAAAGGTAGGGGTGGAAGGGGGGATTCTTCAAATCGAAGATGACTGTAGTGAGAAAACCCTGGCTCTTTATAGTGGTTAGGAATGGCCTGATTGGTTGATCAAGCATGCTAATGCAGAACCAGCCGTGTTCAATCATAATCACGTGCTCCTCTCGAAATTAGTTTATGAATAAACTTCACTCAAGTTGAATTACTTCGATGGGTTATCGAGTCACCAGTTCTCATTGAGTTTTCATCAGTTCTTTCATTTAAAGTTGCCTGTGTGGAAAGGTTTAAATATATTGACAATATCATCTACATTTTGCTATTCATAGTGTTTTGTTGCTGTTATTTTACTTCATCGCCTCGTCGAGTTGGTTTCTTTTTGTTGAAGATGTTTTAGCTGTCTCTTCACCTTTATAAAACATGTATTAGTTATGCTAGTTAAGAGAAAAGACAATGTCGATTAAAATAACCTGTTTTATCTTATGGATTGTCCACGAGCGATTCGTGATTGAATTGCTTCACGATTCAGATCTGAATCATTTCAAAAGCTGGTCTGAATAATTAGTGATTGAGTCGAGTTGAATCACTTTGAAGTGAAATTAGTTTTCAACAGTTCTTCCATTTACAGTCGGTTGTGTGGAAAGCTTTGAACATATTGACAATACCATCCACATTGTGCTTTTTGGATTGGTTCAAAACGTGCAAAAATGTTTTAATCTGAGGTTATAGAATAAAGTTACGTTAAAACCTAGCACACCATTGTTTTTCTTGTGAAATTCCCAATAGGTTTGATGTGTCAAATGACCCTCTTCCTATTGATAAAACAAAAGTTGGATCCAATATGGCCGACTTCAAAATGGCCACCGTGTTCACCACCCATCTTGAAAAGTTTGCCCCCTCACATATACTAATGTGCCACAAACAGGACGTTAATATCACCAACCATTCGTATTTGATTGAAGTGCATCCATATAAATGGCCAACCCTGTAAAGACAGCAGTCATGTCTTTGATAGTGTATCAGTTCCCCTATAGAGAAAATTAGGAGATTTGACTGTTTTGCTCTGTTTACATCTAGCTTTGTTGAACATTAGTGTTTAATGTACCACTTCATGGTTGATTTTGTCACTATGTAAAGGATATTATGATTTTTATTGTGATATTATGAGTTTATTATGATTTTTTTTACCCTCGTCCTTGAAATGTTGAAAAGCATTATTGATCCATCTGTCAAACCTTTTGTAGGAGCAGTGTCAATGCAAAAAGCCAAAATCTAAAATAGACTGTGCATAGAAATATTGTATTATTTATATTTATTCGTAATATATTTATGCACATATTTTTTACAGTACTTATACTACATGCATATTTCTGTTTATACAACTGAGATTTTATAACGAAGGCAGATTCAGCATTTTATAAAATCTATTATTTACAGTTTTGGTGTTAAAAAAGCATGGCCATGAATGAAGTTTTTTTTTTCATCAACTCTAATTTTTAATAAAAGTTGTAGCTTTGATAAAAGAATGAGCTTTTAAATTCACCAGATTTAGCTGTTTTTAATTAAAAAATAAACAATAAAAAGCAAGACAGAGAATCTATTTGTACTTTGTCAGAAAGCCCTAAATTAAGCCAATACTTTTTTAAATTTACTCTGAAAAAAAATCATTTTCTTTTTTAAATATTTCTCAAATGATGTTTAACAGAGCAAGGAAAGTTTCACAGTATGTCTGATAATATTTTTTCTTATGGAGAAGGTCTTATTTGTTTCATTTCAGCTAGAATAAAAGCAGTTTTTAGTTTTTTAAACACCATTTTAGGGACAAAATTATTAGCCCCTTTAAGCTATACATTTTTTTCGATAGTCTACAGAACAAACCATCGTTATACAATAACTTGCCTAATTACCCTAAACTGCCTGATTAACCTAATTAACCCACTTAAGCCTTGTATACTTTAAGCTGTATAGAAATGTTGTGAAAAATATCTAGTAAAATGTTATGTACTGTCATCATGGCAAAGATAAAATAAATAATTTTTTAACAAATAACAGAGTTATTAAAACTTATGTTAAGAAATGTGTTGAAAAAAAACTTCTCTTTGTTAAACAGTAACTGGAGAAAAAAATAAACAGGGGGGCTAATAACTGTATTATTTTACTTCAGCTGTATATAAATATATAAATCCCAACCAAACTAAATATCGCAATGTCAGTTTTTTCCAATATTGTCCAGTCCTATTGAGCATGAACAGTCTTTTTTTATCATTCTGTATTACTCTAAAGTCCCTCACTGTTTTTCATCAGATTAACCTTTTCATGCATACGATCACACCGGTGTGATTAGAACATTAAGGCCTTTAAAAGGCATTAAAAAGTCTTAATCGCGTTTTTATGAGGTCTTAAATTTTGTTTAAGCGTTTTCCAAATTGTTTGACTGCAAAAAAGCATATGTTCATTTTCCTCCTAATATA